ATATCCATCTGCAAAAAACTGAAACAAGACCCATACCTCCCACCATGCACAAAAACTAACTCAAAATGGATCAAAGACCTAAATATAAAATGGAAAATGATAAATATCATGGAAGAAAAAATAGGGACAACGCTACGAGCCCTAATACATGGCATAAACAGAATACAAACCATAAGTAACAATGCTCAAGCGCCAGAAGAGAGACTAGATAACTGGGAGCTCCTAAAAATCAAACACTTATTGCTCATTAAAAGACTTCACTGAAAGAGTCAAAAGACAGTGTACAGACTGGGAAAAAATTTTGGCTACAACAAATTCGATCAGCGTCTAATCTCTAAAATCTACAAGATACTGCAAAACCACAACAACAAAAAGACAAATAACCCAATTAAAAAATGGACAAGGATATGAACAGGCACCTTGCCAAAGAAGATATTCAGGCGGCTAACAGACACATGAAGAAATGCTCACAATCATTAGCTGTTAGAGAAATGCACATCAAATCTATAATGAGATACCATCTCGCCCCAACAAGGCTAGCATTAATCCAAAAAACACTAAATAATAACTGTTGGAGAGTTTGTGGAGAGACGGGACCACTTATACCCTGTTGGTGGGAATGTAAAATGGTACAACCACTTTGGAAATTGATTTGGTGCTTCCTTAAAAAGCTAGAAATAGAAGTACCATAGGATCTAGCTGTCCTTCTCCTTGGAATATATCCTAGAGAAATAAGAGCTGTCACACGAATAGATATATGCACACCATGTTCATTGCAGCAGTGTTCACAATAGCAGAAAGATGGAAACAACTTAGGTGCCCATCACTGGATGTATGAATAAACAAATTATGGTATATTCACACAATGGAATACTACACAAAGATAAAGAACAACGACGAAGCCGTGAAACATAACTTGGAGGAATCTGGAGGGCATTATACTGAGTGAATTTAGTCAGTCACAGAAGGACAAATAGTGTATAATACCACTACTGTAAGAACTCAAGAAAAGGTTTAAACACAGAAGAAAACATTCTTTGATGATTACGTGGGTGGGTAGAGAGGGTGAGGGTTATTCACTAACTAGATAGTAGAGAAGAATTATCTTAGCGGAAGGGAAGGACAGCACACACTATAAGGGAAGTCAGCACAATGGTACTAAACCAAAGCTAAGAAGTTTCCTGAATACAATCAAACACTTCAAGCGACAGAGTAGCGGTGGTGGGTGGGGGGTGCGGTTCTGGGGAGCATGCTTTCAGAGAACATCTAGGTCAATTGGCATAACAAAGTTTATTAATAAAATGTTCTGCATCCTATTTTGGTGAGTGGCATCTGGGGTCTTAAAAGCTAGCAAGCAGCCGTCTAAGATGCATCAATTGGTCCCATCCACCTGGAGTAAAGGAGAATGAAGAACACCAAAGTCACAAGTAAAGTATTAGCCCTAGAGAAAGAAAGGGCCACATAGACCAGAGACTGCATCAGCCTGAGACCAGAAGAACTAAATGGTACCCGGCTACCACCAGTGACCGCCCTGATAGGAAATACAACAGAGTCCCTGATGGAGCATGAGAAAAGTGGGGTACAGAATTCAAATTCTAGTAAAAAGACCAGACTTAATGGTCTGACTGATACTGGAGAATCCCCAGAAGGCATGGCCCCCGGACTCTCTGTCTACTCTGAACTAAAACTATTCCCGTGGCCAACTCTTCAGACAAAGATTAGAACCGACTATGGGACGTAAAATGATACTAGTGAAGAGTGTGCTTCTTAGCTCAAGTAGATACATGAGACTAAATGGGCAGCTCCTGTCTGGAGGTGAGATGAGAAGTCAGAGAGAGTCAGGAGCTGGTTGAGTGGACACGGGAAATCAGGAGTGGAAAGGAGGAGTGTGCTGTCACAGTATAGGGAGAGCAATTAGGGTCACATAACAATGTATATATAAATTTTTGTATGAGAGACTAACTTGAATTGTAAACTTTCACTTAAAGGACAGCAATAAAAATAAATAAGTAAAAAAAAAAAAAAAAAAAGAATTTGAATTCTGTTCCTCATTTTTCTCCCCTTCTGCCAGGATCCATCTGTTGTAGCCCTGATCAGAACCATCATTAGTAGTAGCCAGGCACCATCTATTTCTTCTGGTCTCAGTGTAGATGAGCCTGTGGTTTGTGTAGACTGTTAGTCCTATAGACTAATTTCTTCTCTGAATCTTTAGTTTTTTCTTTCTCTTTTCCTCTGGATGAGGTGAGACTGATAGTTGTATCTTAGTTGACTGCTCTCAAGCCTTATTATAATATGCACATACCCTGTGTATGTGCACGCACGTATGTGCATATTATAATAAAGCACATGGGGGCACAGCATGGATACTTCTTAGACATAATCAAAACTTCGTGGGATTGATTTTCTGAGTTTGAAGCCTTAGGGTCATAGTCTCATGGGACAAATTGGTCAATTGGCATAATATAGTTCACAAGTTTATGTTCTGCATCCTAGCTTGATGAGTAACATCTGGGGTTTAAAAGCTTGCAAGCGGTCATCTAAGGTATAACTGTCAGTCTAATCTCATCAAGAGAAAAAGAGAAAGAAGAAACCAAAGACTCAGAGAAGAAATTAGTCTATATACACATATACAGAGCTATACAAATATATGCATACATGCGTACATATGTAACCACACACACATATATATTTTGGTTGTTGTTGCAAAATTATATATTTTCTAGCATTTACAGAAAACATCCTTTTGTGCGTGTGTGTGTGTTTGTGTATGTGTGCTTCTTAGTGACATCATTTAGCTTGTTCAAGCTGTGTACACTTTACCCACATTCGGTGTTACCTTTCCCCTCACCAAAAATAACAAGTGTCTACTTTTCAAGTGATTCCCCTCTCCCCACCTACCCATCCCTGGTAACCACCAATGAACGTTGGTTTCTGTATGTGTACGTGTGTTTTTATTTTTATCAAAATGAGGTCATACAATATCTGTCCTTTTCTGATTGACTTATTTCACTCAACATAATGTCGTGCAGATTCATCCACATTATAAGATGTTTCAAGGAATCATCATTATTCTTTATGGTTGCAAAGTATTCCATTGTATGTATATACCACATTTTGCTTATCCATTCATTCACTGATGGACACTTAGGTTGTTTCCATTTTTTTGTTATTATGAGTAGCGGTGCAATGAACATAGGTGGGCATATGTTTGTTCGTATCACTTCTATTAGATCTCTAGGATATATACCTAGGAGGGGAATTGATAAATCATAAGGTAATTCTAGTTTTTTGAAGAAGCACCATACTGTTTTCCATAGTAGTTGTACCATTTTACAGTCCCACCTGCAGTGGATAAGACTTCCAATTCCCCCATCCTGGCTAGCATTTGTTGTTTTCTGTTTTTGTGAGCAGTGCCATTTTAGCAGGGATGAGATGATATCTTGTTGTTTTGATTTGCATGTCTCTAATGGCTAACGATCGCAAACATCTTTTCCTGTGTTTGTTGGCCGCTAGGATGCTCTTTGGTGAAGTCTCTATTGATGTCTTTTGTATGTTTTTAATTAGGTTTTTTGTGTTTTTTTGTTGAGTTGTTGAAGTTTTCTGTATACTTTAGAGATATGCAAGAGAAAAACTCTGACTTTGAAAAACTTTAAATTAGAGAGATTTATTGAGGGTATAAACAAATTAAGTTGGGAAGATGGTGAATCCTACAGGGTAAGATAGACCTCTCCGCCGAGGCATGGGATGACAAGGATTGATACAGGCAAAAACCACAAGCATTTGGGGTACTGCTAAAGCTATCTTCATTGACTGACTTAATCTGAAGACAGCTGGAGTACAGCTAAACTCATCTTCATTTGTTTCTACCTGTATCAATTAGAACAGAGTGATGCAAAAGTACAGAGTATCAGTGAGGAGGAGACGGGTTGAGGGGTGTCTTTTGCAAACTGGCCAACCACAAACTGTTCTTGGATGCTGCTGTTTCCTGGAAAATATGACAACAATCTAACAGCACATCTTAGCTTGCAAAGCCTGAGCAGGGGTTTGCAGAGAGCTTGTTTATGAATCAAGATGCAGTTACCTTTATGCCCTTGACATGAGTCCAGGCTAGGCCAAGAGTCTGCTTTTGGATTATTCCCTTTGTCATTCTCTCCTTTTGATCAAGAATTTTCTTAGTAATTAATTGATCACTATTATAAGAATATTTTTCTTCTTCATGGGCTATTTTCCTTTAACTGGTTATATGGCAGCCTACTCAAGGTAGACTTTTGTTTTTGCTGGCTTAATGTTCCTCTTTTTTCTTTAATTGTTTTTCTGCTTTAGATGAAGGTTTACAGAACAAATAGTTTCTGATTAAACAGTTGGTATACATACTGTTTTATGACATTGGTTAACCCCATGATGTCAACACTCTCCTTTCTTGACCTTGAGTTCCCTATTACCAGCTTTCCTGTCCCCTCCTGCCTTCTAGTCCTTGTCCCTGGGCTGTTGTGCCCCCATTAGTCTCATTTTGTTTTATGGGGCTGTCTAATCTTTGATTGGAAGGTGAACCTCGGGAGTAACTTCATTGCTGAGCTAAAAGGGTGTCCAGGGGCCATACTGTCGAGGTTTCTCCAGTCTCTGTCAGGCCAGTAAGTTTGGTCTTTTTTTATGAGTTAGAATTTTGTTCTACATTTTTCTCCAGCTCTGTCCGGGACCGTCTGTTGTGATCCCTGTCAGAGCAGTTAGTAGTGGTAGCTAGGCACCATCTAGTTGTACTGGACTCAGTCTGGTGGAGGCCGTGGTAGTTGTGGTCCATTAGTCCTTTGGACTAATCTTTCCTCAAGGTAGACTTTTAAGACCACAATCACTATTCTCAAAAGAATAGCTAGGCAACATCTGTTCATTTTTACCTTGCCATATGTAGGGTCTCATTGTCAAGGTCAGCAGGTCTCATGTCACCCAAAAAGGAGTAACCCATCTTCTGCAAGGCTGTGAAATTTGTGTGAATGGTCACTTACCTTTTAAGCTGTTTAAGACCCTGGATGCTATCAAATGGGTGACAGGGTTCAGATGTCATCAGATGGATAGCTGGGCACCACCACAGGCGTCTTCACCATGCTATTTAAAAAAAAAAAAAATTAGAGGGCTGACTGGAAGAAAGGCTGAATTTTAGAGGAACTAGTTGGTCTAGACAGAGACTCAAGTTAGAGAACAGGTGAGTTTACAGTGGTTTCCTCAGAGTACATGACACCTTGTCTATGAGTAGAGGTGAATGCTCAGCTAACATTTATTTTCAGGGGAAAAATAAAATGTTAACAAGTAATGTAGTTGTTGTTGTTAGGTCCTGTCGAGTCGATTTCAACTCATAGTGACCCTGTGTACAAGAGAACAAACAATGCTCGGTCCTGCACCATCCTCACAATTGTTGCTCTGTTTGAGCCCACTGTTGCAGCCACTGTGTCAGTCTGTCTTGTTGAGGGTCTTCTTTTTTGCTGACCCTCTTCCTTACCAATCATGATGTCCTTCTCCAGGGACATGTCCTTCCTGATAACATGTCCAAAGTATGTGAGACGAAGTCTCACCGTCCTTGCTTCCAAGGAACACTCTGGCTGTACTTCCAAGACAGACTTGTTTTTCTTCAGGCAGTCCGTGGTATATTCAATATTCTTCTCCGACACCATAATTCAAAGGCATCAATCCTTCTTTGGTCTTCCTTATTCATTGTCCAGCTTTTGCATGCATATGAGACAACTGAAAATATCATGGCTTGGGTCAGGCACACCTAAGTCCTCAAAGTGGTATCATTGCTTTTAAACACTTTAAAGTGGTCTTTTTGCAGCAGATATGCCCAGTGAAATGCATTGTTTGGTATGTTAACTGCTGCTTCTGTGAGCATTGATTGTCGGTCCAATTAAAATGAAATCCTTGACAACTTCACTATTTTTATTGTTTATCATGATGTTGCTTATATGTCCAGTTGTAAGGATTTTTGTTTTCTTTATGTTGAAGTGTAATCCATACTGAAGGCTGTAGTCTTTGATCTTCATCAGTAAGTGCTTCAAGTCCTCTTCACTTACAGTAAGCAAGGTTGTGTTATCTGCATGTCACATGTTGTTAATAATGAGTCTTCCTCCTATCTTGATGCTGCACTCCTCTTCATATATAGTCCAGCTTCTTGGATTATTTTGCTCAGCATCCAGTTTGAATAAGTATTGTGAAAGGATACAACCCTGATGCGCACCTTTTCTGTTTTTGAACCACACAGTATTCCCTTGTTCTGTTCAAACAACTGCCTCTTGGACTATGTACAGGTTCTACATGAGCACAGTTAAGTGTTCTGGAATTCCCACTCTTCACAATGTTATCCATAATTGTTATGATTCACACAGTCGAATGCCTTTGCATAGTCAATAAAACACAGGTAAATATCTTTCTGGTATTCTCTGCTTTCAGCCAGATCCATCTGACATTAGCAATGATACTACTCGTTCCACATCCTCTTCTGAATCTGGCTTGAATTTATCTAAGTAAAGTCTAGTTCAGTTAGGTGCCATGTGTTATACAGGCCTGGTCCGGAGGTCTTGGGAAGAGCTGTCTACTCCAGATGTCGTCCATTTCTGATCTCCAGGTTGTTGGAGTCTTTTTGTGATTGGACAGTCCAAGAGGGTTCTGCAGTCTTTTTAGGCTGAGAGAGGTGGATCTACATCTTAGTCTCCTGTGATTTGGTGGCACAAGGGCTTGTAAAAAGAACTAAATATGCTCCCTTCCAGTGAGCAGTTAAGGAGTCTTTCAGTTTATGTCTTTTTCCAATATATATATTCTCCTGGGGCAATGTTAGGCAGATTTTGTGATTCTAATTTCTGGCCATCAAAATCTTCTTTAATCTTTGAAAAATATTCCTTTAAAGCAAAATTAACTATGACAGATACAGCATTTTATAGAAATGATGAGAAAGAGAATAATATTAGTTAAGGAAGCAACAGGATTGTTAAGATTCAGCATTAACAATCAATTCTGATAATGACATAGGTGGCTCTTTGTGTAGTAGTCCATTTGATTTTTAAGAACTATTTCTTTCAGCATAGTCATTTAAGTATTTATTTCTTGGAGTCCATGGGGAGAACCTTTTAAATCATTCTGAATATATTTAGTCTGAACTTTGATACGTGCCATGACATTTTCTAGTCTATAGGATATTCTGCAGTTAACATAATGTTATTAGTTATCGAAATAACTGATTCTTATGTTAAAAGAGGGAAAGTAAAATTGGTGTCTTACATAAAAAAATAGAACATTAAACATTAGTAATATTTTTATAAATGTTTGTAGTAATTCTTTTAGTTTACTCAAACCTATGTGGTAAATTTTGGTTGCATGTAATTTTGAATCAACAGCAGTCTGAAAACTTCATTAGTTTCTATATAAGAGTTCTGGAAGTATTGTTTTAGTGCAATTGTATCCACATTTGAAATATTATCATCTTCATAAGTCTGTTAAAGTTATTTTTTTGTTGAAATATTTTGGTTAAGTGCATTCAACAAGTTGGTAAAGTAGAAACTTATCTGCAGATGACAAAACTTAATATGACTATGGTTAACTTATAATAATATTTCTTAAAAGCAAAAGACCTGATGGGGCTTAATTACAAAACTAATGCAAAGCCAAAGAAAGTTAATTTAAAAAAAAAAAACTTCTAGACAAAAATATTTCTGAACATAATAATTAAGCTTATTTTTAAAGAGTTTCAGATATAATGTATAATAATCTTGAGACATAATACCATATAGTCAGGGTATACCAAGAATATGCCAAAATTATTAAGTCTCTAAATATCTGGATAGTAACAACAGCAACAACAACAAAAACTCCATGGGTAAACGATGTAAATTCCCCAGTTTAACCATGCACTTTGATGATGCTAGGTACAAGGAATACAAGGCTATAGTTAAATTAGCAATTAAATTAATAAAATTATGACATAATTTTATGTTTGTTGTTCAATACTAGAGAAATGTTATTGACATATAGATTTTGACTTAAAGAAAATTTGATATTTCTCCTGATTTGGCAACAGGTTTTATGTGATTCATAACTTATTAAATAAATCTTTTTTAGTATCTTTTTCTTCTTATAAAATAGTAACAATTTTTTTTGTGATTTTCCATGAAGTTTCAAAGCCGTAAGGAGTTTCTCATAGGTCATTGAGAACAGTACTTGAGTTATTTAACTAAAGACCTTAAAGGTAAAAACAAAACAGAAACAAAAACCCTAGTTTTTTCAATAGGATCAATGCTAGAGGTCCTAATACACGGCATTAACAGGATACAAACCATAACCAAGAACACACAAACTCCAGAAGATAAGCTAGATTACTGAGATCTTCTAAAAATTAAACACTTACGCTCATCAAAAGACTTCACCAAAAGCGTAAAAAGAGAACCTACAGACTAGGAAAAAAATTTTGGACATTACAAGTCAGACCAAGTTCTAATCTTGAAAATCTACAAGAAGATCCAACACCTCTGCAACAACAACAACAAAATAATCCAGTTAAAAAATGGGCTACGGAAATGTACAGACACTTCATCAAAGAAGACATTCAAGTGGCCAACAGACACATGAGGAAATGCTCGCGATCACTAGCCATTAGAGAAATACAAATTAAAACCACAATGAGATACCATCTCACCCCGGCATTACTGTCATGAATCAAAAACACTGGAAATAACAAATGTTGGAGAGGCTGCAGGGAGATCGGAACTCTTACGCATTGCTGGTGGGAATACAAAATGATACAACCATTTTGGAAAATGATATGGCACTTCCTTAGAAAGCTAGACATAGAAATACCACATGATCCAGCAATCCCACTCCTAGGAATATATCCTAGAGAAATAAGAGCCGTCACATGAATAGACATATGCACACCCATATTCATTGCAGCATAGTTCACAATAGCAAAAAGATAGAAACAACCTAGATGTCCATCAACAGATGAATGGATAAACAAACTATGGTGCATACCTACAATGGAGTATTACACCATGATAAAGAACAATGATGAATCTGTGAAGCATCTCATAACATGGATGAAACTGGAGGTCATTTTGCTGAGTGAAATAAGTCAATCACAAAAGAACAAATATTGTATGAGACCACTACTGTAAAAACTCATAAAAAGGGTTACACATGAAAAGAAACAATCTTTGTTGGTTATGAGGGATGGGAGGGGTAGGAGGGAAATACTAAATAGATAATAGATAAGTGGTAACTTTGGTGAAGGGTAAGAGTACACAATACTGGGGAAGCCAGCACAGCTTATACAAGGAAAGGTCATGGAAGCTCCATAGACACATCCAAACTCCCTGAGGGACTGAATTGCTGGGCAGAGGGCTATGGGGACCATGGTCTCAGGGAACATCTAGCTCAATTGGCATAACACAGTTTATAAAGAAAATGTTCTACATTCTACCTTGGTAAGTAGCATCTGGGGTCTTAAAAGCCTATGAGCAGCCATCTAAGATACTCAACTGGTCTCCCCCTTTCGGGAACGAGGGAAAATGAAGAAAACAAGATACAAGGAAAAGGTTAGTCCAGAGGACTAATGGACCACAACTACCACGGTGGAACCAGACTGAGTCCAGTACAACTAGATGGTGCCTGGCTACCGCCACTGACTGCTGTGACAGGGATCACAACAGAGGGTCCTAGACAGAGCTGGAGAAAAAGGTAGAACAAAATTCTAACTCACAGAAAAAGACCAGACTTACTGGCCTGACAGAGACTGGAGAAGCCCTGAGAGTATGGCTTCCGGATGCCCTTTTAGCTCAGCAGTGAAGTTACTCCTGAGGTTCTCTGTTCAACCAAAGATTAGACTGCCCCATAAGACAAAGGGAGACTAATGGGGTACAACAGTCCAAGGACAAAGACTAGAAGGCAGGAAGGGACAGAAAAGCTGGTAATAGGGAACCCAAGGTTGAGAAGGGACAGTGTTGACAAGTCGTGGGGTTGTTAACCATTGTCATAAAACAATGTGTGTACTGTTTAATGAGAAACTATTCTGTAAACCTTCATCTAAAGTACAATTAAAAAAATATAAAACCTAGTTTTTTCTAAAGCCATGTGACTTGATTTTTGATTCAAGAATGTATTCTGTTTGGCCCTTGCCATCAAGGCAGATTGTACAAAGAATAAAATTAATCCTTCAACTCGGTAATTAAAGAAAATTTTGTTATCTTAACAGAGAGAAACTCATTTTTTTGTTTTATATGTTATTTGACATTAAAGCTCTTAAAATTCTCATAAATTATCTCAACAACCTTTTAGCTGCAGCAAATAAGAATTTTGACCATATTAAATAAAGTCCTTTTTCATAGACCTTTTACATTTCCTCTCCTTTTTACATCTTTCTTATGGAGCCCTGGTGGTGCAGTGGTTAAGCATTGGCCTGCTAACCAAAAGGTCGGCAGTTGAAACCCACCAACTGCTCCTTGTAACCCTTATGGGGCAGTTCTACTCTGTCCTGTAGTGTCACTATCAGTGGGAATTGAGTCAACAGCAATGGGTTTGGTTTATTTTTTCTTTTTATAGCATAACCCTCTAAGTGTCAAAAAGGAACGTATTCATTACCAGACCTAAATATATATATATACCTTTTATGGTATGAAAAGTAAGAGTCTATAAACTTTAATCATAATGAAAATCTATTAATTTAATATCAGTACATTAACTAAAAATGTTGAACATTAATTTAAATCTATATATTAAAAACGTAATTATTTCTGAAGTAAAGTTTGTTTATATAGTCTATATGCCTATTCAAATCTTTAGTATTGTTTTATAAAGGAATATTTATAACCTAATTTTTACAACCCTGTCTTGGCCATGCTTTCTAGGATCCTTTAGAGAAGTAATTTAGAATAATTCGTTCTTTTTAAGGTCTTGTTATACAAGTCAAAAAAAATTATCCTTTTTTTTTTTTTAATGCACTTTTCAAATAGACCAGTTTATATCAAAATTTCTCAGAGTAGTTGGTAAAAGCTCAGGTTATAAAGCAGGAGCAAAAAGCAGTTTTGCCTGGAAGAGGAAAAAAGAAAAAACCCTAAGGCTTAAAAAACTGCTTCATGAGAGGCAAAAAGCAAAAACAAAAGAACTAGTGACTGCCAGTCATGGCTTTCTGAGATAAAGCAGAAACTCAGACACAAACCAAAACAGAAAAAGCACACATTTTGTTAATAAGTGAAGCAAAACTTTATCCATATGCTACAAACCACAAGAAAGTGTTTGAAACATTTAGGGGTTACTGTTTTCTCATATCTTTTTATGAAAAATCCTGGAAAGAAATACTAGTTTCTGTTTCTTCTTAATCCATACACATATCCAAAATACACTTAAAGGTTTTAATTCAAGAAGACCTATAATTTCCTTTTTCTTCAAAACAGCTAAATTTCAACCATACAAAAGATAAAACTGGCAAAACAAGACAGGAAACTTGAAAAAGAGAAATAGAAAAACCACATAAATTCACCAATCTGTGAGGCCAGCTCAAAGTCCAGGCTTATATTTAACATCACATATGACAAACATATGGGGAACCCAGTTTCTTAAAATGTCCTCAGACAGGATAGAAACTTAGACATAAAACAAGACAGAAAAACTACATAAATGGGAACTGAATTTCCTAAAATGACAATTGAGATTTTAAATTATTTCAAGTATATTCCACTTAATGGTGTTTCTGAGCATGAACCTCAAATAAGCATTCTGGTAGGGGGGAAGTCTAGGCTCATTAAGGATGTTAAAAGTAGATTGAAACTTTGGTTTCATTCTCTTTGAATTTAATTCATTTTGCCAACTAGAGACCTAGTCTCTTATATTAAATATACTAATGTCTTTAACTGAAAAGTATCAAAGGAGAATAGGGGTAGGAGCAGTGTTTTGACATTGTAGCTCCTTATTTTGTTTAATTAACTTGGAAACAGTATATTTTAATAAGACAATTTTATTATTTTGAAGTCCTTTTGGAAGGTTCCTGGTACTAACAAAAAATAAAAAAGGCATCTTATTGTGTCTGTCTAATATGGGAGCCTTTGTGTTACAATTTACCGTGCAGAAAAATTACTTAGTTCAAAGGATCCCCATAAGGGCCATTGATTTTCTAAGTTTCCCTTAATGAGCACATGCCAATGATCCTGATGCAAGACTGAGATGGGACCATTATTTTTAAACACATAATACACACGAGTCCCTGAAGGAGGTCCTTTCTCACAGAAAAAAGTCCCCAAAAGAGGTCCTGCCTCAGTCTTTGATGTGGCATTCCCCATCTTCTTACTAAACTTAGACCCAAACAGCACACAGAAAGCCAGTTCCTGCCACAGGATCCCAGTCCCTGCTGCACACTGAACCTCAAGGGGTGCCCGAAGAAAAGAGTTCAGCAAATGGCTCTCATCTACTTACAGTGAACTCATCAAGCTGCTCAGAAAGATGAGCAGAAAAAGAAAGTAAAGGAGAAATAAAGTTAACAAATTTCTTAGGAGAACTGTACACAAAGAGAGTGTAGTTTGATCTTAGAGGGATTACCTGGGATGGCTCTGGGGAGTCCGCGTAGATGGATGAGTGCAAAGGGCTTGTGCTGGCACAGAAGCTCCGAGTTCCCAACTGCTTGGAACCACTGCTGGTAGGCATCTTCGGATCTTGCTGGCTACGCCAGAGAAATGACCAATAGTAAAACTCTGACTTTGAAAAACTTTATATTAGAGAGATTTATTGAGAATATAAAACAACTTAAATTGGAAAAGTGGTGAATCCTACAGGATAAGATAGACCGTTCTGCCGAGGCATGGGGTGACAAGGGTTGATACAGGCAAAAACCACAAGCAGCTGGGGTACAGCTAAAACTATCTTCATTGACTGACATAATCTAAAGGCAGCTGGAGTACAGCTAAACTCATCTTCATTGGTTTCTACCTGGTTGGTTAGAACAGGGTGATGCAAAAGTACAGAGTATCAGTGAGGAGGAGGCAGGGTGGGGAGCATCTTCTGCAAATCAGCTGACCACAAATGTTCTTAGATGCAGCTGTTTCCTGGAAAATATGAAAACAATCTATCAGCACATCTTAGTTTGTAAAGCCTGAGAAGGTGTTTGCAGAGAGCTCATTTATGGGTCAAGATGGGTTACTCTTGTTCTCTTGACATGAGTTCAGGCTAGGCCAGGAGCCCATTTCTAGATTATGTCCTTTGTCACAGATTAGACCCTTATCAGAGATGTCATTCCTGAAGATTTTTTCCCAGTCTGTAGGTTGTCTTTTTATTCTTTTGATAAAATATTTTGATGAGCACAACTATTTAATTTTTGAGGAATATGATATCTTTTTTAATCCTTATCCCCCTCACTGAACTGTAAGCCTCATGAGGTCAGAGATACTGTATTTTTAAAACTAATCACAATGCTTGGCACAGAGTAAGCATGCTGGTGTAAACAGTTAATCCACTCGACTGCTAATTGAAAAATTGGAGTTTCAAATCCACCCAGAGATACCTCAGAAGAAAGGCTTGGTGATCTACTTCTGAAAAAATCAGCCACTGAAAACCCTGTGGAGCACAGTTCTACTCTGACTCACCTTGGGTTGCCATGAGTCAGCATCAACTGGACCACAACTGGTTTGGCTTAAATATTTGTTGAGTGAGTAAAGAATGAATAAATGATATTTTCTGACTTCACTAAGGACAGCACAAGAAGAAATAGTCATATGCAGCAGCATGAAGAATATATATTGAATACTGGAAGAACCCACTGAGACTGGGGCTTTTTGAGCATTGTAGTGGGAGATTATTATTATTATTTTGTATGTAACTGTAGATACTAATTGGACTAGTGATGACAAAAATCATATTTTAATTCTCAGTACAAAAAATATGTATAGGAAAGAAAGGAGTAGGGAGGAATTACCCTTCCTGGTGCCCTGCTGCTTTATGAGATGGGGGATTATTGGTTGTGACTCCCTGAGGCACAGAGCTGTAGGAAGCTGACAAAAGGAATTTTCCCAAAGCACAAGAGCTGGGTGGACGTAGAGGAGTCACTGCCAAAGCAACACGATTTCTCCCTATGCAAGTACTCTCCAGGGAACCTAGAATCTGTGTTCAGCATTGAAATGTTTTATAAGTGGAAACATTTTGAAACATCAGTAGAGTGACACTTCTTCTTGCTAATTCTCCATTTCATCTCTTCTTTGAAGGAATGTACTTTCCTTCAAGTGGCTTGTCAGTTTTTCCTACACAAAGGGGAATCTACATCTCCAGCACTTCACCCACTTCCACCCTTAATTCTATTTCACTGAATAATTTATGTCCTCCTCCGCTAGACCTTGTCCCCTCTTCTTTGCTCCAAGGTAATCCTACGCTGATTTAGCTCCTCTCTGAAGCAATACAATTTCTATTTTTAGACTTATATTGAGGAAATATACCTCCAGTAAAAATCAGTCTGATGGGCCTGGGAGGGATTTGATGCTCTGGGATGTCAAGAAGAACCCAAAGACCATGCCTCTGCGTTCATGTCCCTTCAGTTTATCGGCAGTATTGATTGGTTTGATTTTTGAAGATATAGGTAGATAAATCCAATGAGTTGGAGAGTTCAATCATTTTAAAAGAATGACTGCAAAATGCTCGACATGATCCAACCTATGCTTACTTAGTTCTGTGGGAGCCTAACTCACCAGTTGGCAAGACGTACATGCCATTTGGCCTGACTAGAAAGCTCTTTTCACTAGGGGTCAGTGGTCACAGTCCCAACTAACTTCTTTGAGGAAATATACAGTAAAATTGCCTGAGAAAAGTTGTGTTGTTTGACAATGGCTCACATCTTCTGTCCCTCCACTGCTTTGATTCTTTTCAACAAATAAAGTGCTTTCTGTCGATAAGCTATTTTCCCCAGACTGGAGCCCCTCTGCCTGAAACCTTCTAGACTGCACCCATTTAGGCATAATCAGCCTGTTGTTGTTGGTTGCCATTAAGTTGATTCTAGCTCATAGTGACTAGGAGAATGCTAAATTGTATAAGATATGGTTCCTCCCTTCTAATTTATTATTTTGCATCCTCCCCCTGTGTTTTAGTACAAATAGTCTACTGGTTTATCAGTGTGCAGCTCAAGAGTCCATGATTAGTCAGTTTCTTCCATGAATGGTAGTATCTTGCCTGACCTTCTATAAGGAAAATCATCTTTGAGATGGCTCCTTTGGATTTAACAGTCAATAAAACCACAGAATGCAAACTTTCCTCTATGAATAGCTAAGTGATCTATATGAAAAATGAAGTCTTGATTGACTTGACTAACCTCTCCGGGCAGTGCTCAGAAAAAAGATCCAGGCTATAGATAGAAATTTGGGAGCATGTAGGTGATATTTTGGAGCCATGGTCATGCTTGAGATCTTCTAGAGAAAGTAAGGAGCTCTGGTGGCTCAAAGGTTAAGCACTCAGCTGCTAACTGAAAGATTGGCGGTTCACACCCACCAGTGGTTCCGCTGGTGAAAAGACCTGGCAATCTGGTCCCAAAAAGATTACAGCCAAGAAAACCCTATGGGGCAGTTCTACTCTCACCTATAGAGTCACTGTGAGTCAGAATCAAGTCAGTGACACACAGCAATAACAGTAACAGAGAGGGAGTGCAGAGAGGTAAGAAAAGAGAGTCTGGGACTGAGCCTGGGGAACACCAACATTAATGGGTGGAGAAGGAGGGGCCGAGAAGTGGGAGGAAAATCTAGAAGGTGATTTTATAGAAACCAAGAGAAGAGGGTATTTCAAGGAGGGAGTAGTTGATAGTGCTGATGCTATCAAGAGATCAGGTAAGGAGAGGCTGAAGAATAGTTATGTCTCCATGTCAGAGTGCTAACAGTGAGAGAAAAGAGTGGTGAGTCATCATCTCCTGTCCCCCAGGAGCTTATGGTCTAGTTGGAGAGGCAGGATATGTGCAAACCAGTTGAGGACCAGTGTAAGGCATTATGTTCTGAGTGACCGGAATGAGTTCTAAAGGCAGTTGCTACTCATGAGGGGTGGCAGTCATTGTGAACTAAGCATTTGGGGATGGTTTATTTGAAGAGCTGGGGCTTAAGTAGGACCCTAAAGAGTTAAGAGTAGGATTTGGACAGGTCAACAGGGAGAGGACGGGCATTCCAAGCCAGGAGAGCGGCGTACGCATAGCCCTGTGGTCAGGAATGAGCATGCCGTGCTCAGGTGAGGAGGCTGACATGACAAAGGGGTGCTGCTACTTGGTAGAATGGGGGAAGAGAGGTTATAGAGGCCAACCAAACCCATCACCATCAAGTCAATTATAACTCCTGGCGCTCCATGTGTGTCAGAGTTATGCAAGAGATAAACTAAGGCTTTTGACCAAAGTAAAATGGCTGAACTAAAAAGAAGGAGCCCTGCTTTGTTAACTTATGATCTTTAAAATGCTACTCTGGCTAGCAACCAGAGGAAACTAAGGAAATGTTTTTCTCTGTGGTCAAACCAAGATGTGAAAAGAATGTACCCTAGAGAGGGTCTTGACACAAATAACCACCGCTCCCTTTTGTGCAAGATGTTCTCAGGAAACGTTTGCTTCAAGATATTTTTACAACTTGTTCCAGAAGATATTATATATTGTAAACATCTTGTGATAATCTTGTAACCATTGTATGCAATTTTTGAATAAGCACTACCTCTCTAATTACAGCTTAAACCAATCTGTGTATCCCACCTCTACTTATGTAGCCAGTAGTATACAAGCCCCTGCTTTAAAATGTCCCGCCTCCCATCCCTTTACCTCTCTAAGAACCAATCAAAATATTGTCATATAACTTCCTGGTTTTGGCCTATAACTATTTGCCCTTGGAACTCCCTCCTTGGACTCCGTGGTTTCATTTTGGTGGGCCATTCTGGTTGGAATTGTTCTTTAAGCCCTTAATAAACCTTGCTTGCTTTAACCCTTTCAAGACCCTATTATTTCTGCTTTGAATTTTTTTTTTTTTTTTTTTTGATGCCATGTGTTTTCATCAATGGAAGTATGTTGCGCCATGGAGTGTGTTTAAATTTTGGGGTAGTAATAGATGGATTTTGAGAAGTATTATCTGGGACTACATGGTTACCCCTGAACGTTTGGTGTTCTCAAGCCTGTTGATTGGTGGGCGACTGTCTTTTTCAGTGAACCTTGGTTGCTGAAAATATGGTGAGGCGCCTTCCATTAGGTTACACAGGGAACCTCTGGTTTTCCAAATGTGACACACACACAACCAAGCCTGCTAGGGCTCCCTAGCTGTCACACCTAACCAAACAAAACCCTTTGCCATTGAGTCAATTCTGACTCATCGCGACACTATAGGACAGAGTAGAACTGCCCTATAGGGTTTCCAAGGAATGGTTGGTGGATTTGAACTGCCTACATTTGGGTTAGTACCTGGTCTTCTGGTTAGCGGCTGAGCTCTTAATGCTGCACCACCAGGGTTCCAAATAGGAAACCATAAATGTGCTTACAAGGCTTATCTAGGGGTACAAAAGCCAAAAGAGACAGAATTTTGACCCAGTCACGCTTCCTGGTTGCACTACCTTACTTGCAATCGTCATACCCGAGGTATTTTGTTTCAACTAACGTTTCTTTCACCTTTCGCCGTCACTCAAGTCCCCACTGGAGGGCAGCAAATACTTTCAGTGGGAAAGGTATCCTCCCAAAGAACTCCAGAGGCATACAAAGTGGGTGGGATACCATGTCCCAAGGGCCATGAAGGGTATTAATCTCATACAAACTGTTTCCTGCCACGACGACAAAGGAGAACTATAGTTAGAATTTTCAAGGCTATGGCCTTTAGGAAGTAGAGTGCCAGGCCTTTCTCTAGTGGCACCTATGGGTGGGTTTGAACTGCTATCCTTTCTATTAGTAGTTGAGGACTTAACTGTTTGTACTACCCAGGGATTCTTAGAGGGGCCAAGTGGTCAAGATATAAA